TTTCATTTTGCTTTAAATTTTTTGAGACTTGTTTTGTGATCTCCCATGGGACCTATCATACAGAATAGTCCATCTGCTTTAGAGAAGAATATATATTCTGTAGCTGTTGGCTGGTGTGTTCTCTAGATGGTTTTCAGATCCAGCTGGTCTAAAATGCAACTTAACTCTGCTGTTTCTTAGTTCTCTGAATGGATGGCCTGTCCACTCCTGAAATGTTGATGTTGCAGTCCTCTGCAAATATCTATATGTCTAGCTCTATTAACATTTGCTTTATAACCTGGGGCCATTCAATTTACAGAGGTATTTACAATTATTATTCATTTCTTTCTAAGAGGGCCCTTAACCTTTGTGATCATATAATCACCGTGCTTGACTTTTGTTATAGCTTATCTTATTTAACTGGTTAATTCTGCTCTCTGGTAGAATCATTTTGCATGAAATAGCTTGTTTCATCTCTTCATCTGCAGGCTATGCATGTCCTTAGATGAGAAGTAAGTTTCTTTTTGTTTGTTTGTTTTGAGACATGATCTCCCTGTAGCCCCAGCAGACCTGGAACTAGCTATGTAGACCAACCTGGCCTTGCCTCACAGAGATCTACCTGCATCTGCCCCCCAATTGTTGGGACAAAACACATGAACCATCATGCCCGGCATGAAGTAAGTTTCTTATAAGAAGAATGTTGTATATTTTTTAAACTGTGATCAGTCACTCTTCTAGTTGGAGAATATAATCATTTACATTGAAAGAAATCAGTGGTAGGTAAGATCTTACCTGTTAGTCAGATATTCTTTACCCTGAAAAAAGGCCTGAGAGAATCAATTTAAAAGGGAACTGATTTATCAAGGCTTATAGCTTCAGAGACTTCAGTCCTTAATCACTTGACCCTGAGGCTTTGAACCTGAAGCAGCTCAGTTCACAATGACTGAAATAGGTGACAGTTGAGCCCTGATCACCTCATGGGAAAAAGGAAATGAAAAGGTAAGAGAGGTCTGACTTCTTTCTTCATGAACCCCCAAGTTTTAGAAGGTCTTATAGGATCCATCAACTACCATGTGACCTGAGGTGAACCAGATAATCTGTGTACCACAACATTCAAAAGGAAAAAGGAGAGAAACAAATAAGAATCTCCCCCAACCCTCAATTTTAGATTCGTGAAACAGAGATGGTGATATCTTCCATTTCTCAGAGCACTGCTGTGGAGCTATCATAGGGATTGCCACAAGTGTGTACAAAACACAATAGCCAACACAGCTGTGCCTCTGAAAAAGTAACAACTACAGAAACTCTTGAAAATTTAATTAATTGTGAAGAGCAAATATATTCTATTGTTAAGATCTTGAAAATTAAAAATAAAGAGCAGTGGTGAGCAACTTTCACACCTAGTACATTTTCAGCATACTGTCCAAGGTAGAAACTTGAAAACTTGACACAGGGCAAGCCACTTTCCAAAGACCAGAGGATCAACATGTTCTTGTCTGTGGCTTACTCTTAGGAGGACCATAAATAATGGTCTACCATCATGGACTTTGAACATTAAATAATAGGAGCACATTTAACTTCCACATTGCCTCAATTCCTGTCAGAAAAATATTTATAATTAGTTATTTCATTTTGGTTTTCAATGGCAGGATCTCATTCCGTAGCTTAGGTGGGCCTTGAAGCCATGTTAAGTCCACTACCTCAGGGTCCTAAATGCTGCCAAGAGGCATGACATCTATCTACTCAATTAATTTTAAATATTTATTTATTTAAATATTTGCTTATTATTTTTATGTGTATGAATTGCCTGCATGTAGTAAGTACACCTGTATCATGTAATGTCTGCAAAGGTCAGAAGAGGGCATTGGATTGTCTGGAACTAGAGTAACAGATGGTTGTTAACTACCATGCAGGAGCTGGGAACCAAACCCAGGTCAGCTGCAAGAACACCCAGTATTCATAACTGCTGGGGCATCTCTCCAATTCCTATTCATTTTTTTATTTTTATTTTTTAATATTTTATTATTTTTAATTTATGCATATGAGTTTATTACCCGAATGTATGTATGTTCATCCGTGTCATGCAATGCCCACAGATTCCCCTGGGATTGGAGTTAGAGACAGTTGTTAGTTGCCATGTAGGCACTGGGAATGGAACCTGGGTCCTCTTCAAGAGCAGCCAGTTCTCATAATTGCTGAATCATCTCTCCAGCCCCCCCCCACCTCATTTTTTTACGATACCTGTTTAACTGGCATACATTATCTTTGGAAAGCAATCAGATATTTACATTCATTGAACTGTAATTTTTCTTGTTCATTCTTGGAATTGAAGATATTATTATTGTGGCCACTTTTGTGAGGTTTAGTTAATTTCCATTTCTCACATTATAATTATATTAGTTATCTTAAGGCACTTTCAGATTATTTCATCAATCTTGGTCTTTGCTTTTAATTTATGCAGTGGAATTTACTTGTTCATTGGTGTGAATAATTTTCAATATCTTGCCAAACAGCCTGTAGCAAGTGAAAGCACAAGTTGAATATATTACAATTTTCTGTTTGAGTGGAATGCAACAAAAACAAATTATGCTGCAAAGTGAACTTCATTGACTTTCAGGCAGTCATGAGTAATTCAAAAATTCCTCTTTTTGTCTGTAATTAAGAAAACAAATGGGTGCTCCATATTTGAGAGGCACGTAGCATAGTGAAGTGACTTTAATAATGTCCCATTTGGCTTTATTGCTCTGTTATTTTATATCACAATCTGCATAAATGCTTCATATATCGTACAGTATCTTGTTCCGGAACTTAACTATATTAGAATCAGAATCAATAGCTATAGGGAAGTTTTATTGGTTTTTATATACTGAGATTTTCCTTTAAAGTTCAGCTTGTGAAGAAAGTGCTCTTTCGTTTCATAAAGCATTATGAAAACTCTCCAGTAGCTCAGAACTTTTAACACATTGCGGTGGCTGTAAAAAAGGAAAAGGTGTGCTGCAAGGCATAGGTGCCCATCAATCCTGGATATAGACAGTAGGGTCTGGAGCCTAGGGCTAGTGAACTCCGAATGAGAGCAGCTCCCAGTAGAGCTCCTGAAGAGAAGAGCAGAATCTGGGACACATAGTGTCCTCTGATCTCACTAACTTCTGGGTCTGAGTGTGGCCCATGTGGTCTTATTGGGTGGACATCTATATCTTCCACCTGCTTCAGAGCACACAAAAGGATCAAAGTAGGTGTGAGAGGAACTCACTTGGAGAGAGTACAGAATGCTCTGTAGTGGGCCAAGTTGAGGCTTAGTGCTTATACATTGGGACCGTCAAGCTGCTCCATCCTTGCAGGCCTGTCCTCACAATGAATGCTCCTTCTGCAAAGCAGAACTTCAACATATTGATACAGAAGGAAGGTGATTGGGTTTGAAATCCATTGGCATTATTTCAAGAAAAATCACTATAATGTTATTCACAAGAAAGAATGATTCTTATACTTCTTTAAATACAATTTCCAATGGTAATGAAATTTAAAATGTTTGTTTAAAAAAACCTACGTATTTTCACCTTTATTTTGCTTGGAGTGATTACTACGAAAAAGTCTATCAGTTATTTCAAGTACAAAACTTGATGCAGTACAAGGTAAGTTTGTGAAAAGAACACACTTGTCACAAAATGATTTTATATTGAATGTTACACACAGTTAATATTTAATCATTCCAAAATTCTACTGTTTTATATTTTTATATAATACCAAGAGAACATAGTGAAAAATTTAATCAAGCACCAAGGAGCCTCATCATTTTTTCTGATGGTTTATTAAAAGCTTTGGAAAACATAGGCCACTGGGGATTCCGAGTGATTCATACACATGCAGGGTTCTCAAAAATGCTTTCAGGAAGCTGGGCATTGAGGACTCTGCTACTGTCTGGGATGGACATCCAGTTGACTCAGCATCAGAAATATCAGTCTGGACTTCCAACTTGAACATACTACATGCACACCCCATCAAAAGACATGTCCAATTGTTTACACTCAACTGCAAATTAGTCTGAAAAAAATGATACAAGAGAGGTTTATTTCCTGCACGTTTACAGTCTTAGTCAACTGCTTCGGAAAAAAAAATCAATACTTTTTTCAGGCTGCGCAGTAGGTCAAGCAACTGGTCTGGAGTTAGTCACCCATTTCAGATCCAACAACCTTTTTCATACTCTCAGGTCTCCAGGCTTTTCTGCTGAAGCCTCCCTGGGAGGCCAATCGCTGTGGACGTGACCTGTCAACTCCAGGTTGGCTCCCTGAGACTTCCCCACAGGCCATTCCAGAACACACAGAGGCAGTGGCTGACTGCCCAGCGAGGCGGCGCCGGCGCTCCCAGGCCTCCTCTGGGTCGCCCTTCAAATTTTGCGCCCTGGGGGCTGGCAATGGCTGGCACAGCCCTGTGGGCACTTGGGCCAGCGGCTCCGAAGCGGTGCCCCTACCGCAGCCTCTGCAGGTTGTTGATCTTCGCCTCTACTTGACTCTTTCTCTTTCACTTTTCTTTTCACTGGGCTTGGGACTCCTTGACTGGAAGGCGCTGGGGGAATCCCTGCTGATTGACCCCTAGTGCCTCAATCGCTGGCGCTGGCTTTACAGTCTTAGTCAACTGCTTCGGAAAAAAAAAATCAATACTTTTTTCAGGCTGCGCAGTAGGTCAAGCAACTGGTCTGGAGTTAGTCACCCATTTCAGATCCAACAACCTTTTTCATACTCTCAGGTCTCCAGGCTTTTCTGCTGAAGCCTCCCTGGGAGGCCAATCGCTGTGGACGTGACCTGTCAACTCCAGGTTGGCTCCCTGAGACTTCCCCACAGGCCATTCCAGAACACACAGAGGCAGTGGCTGACTGCCCAGCGAGGCGGCGCCGGCGCTCCCAGGCCTCCTCTGGGTCGCCCTTCAAATTTTGCGCCCTGGGGGCTGGCAATGGCTGGCACAGCCCTGTGGGCACTTGGGCCAGCGGCTCCGAAGCGGTGCCCCTACCGCAGCCTCTGCAGGTTGTTGATCTTCGCCTCTACTTGACTCTTTCTCTTTCACTTTTCTTTTCACTGGGCTTGGGACTCCTTGACTGGAAGGCGCTGGGGGAATCCCTGCTGATTGACCCCTAGTGCCTCAATCGCTGGCGCTGGCTGCTACCTCGCACCCCGCAGCCAACACTCGATTGAGGTACAGAAGTGGTGGTGGAGGGGGGATTGGCAATGGGATTTACCCCGAAAGCCTACGCCCTGGGCTCCTCCCAGCTCGGGCTCCTCTCATGCACCCACTTCTCCGGACCAGCCGCGGGCTGGCCGCTTCGCCCCACCCTGTTGACAACGACTTCAGTTTCAGTGGCAGTAGGTGCAGAGGGTTTCCCCTTCTGTCCCTTCTGCGCTTTCATTCTTTCTGGGGTTCTCCTCTGCATTCTCACGCTTGCGAAGGAGCACAGATTGCCTGTCCCCGTGCACTTCCCACGCACACTCTCCAGCGTTCTGCGCCCTGCGGGTGGCGGTGCCAGGGCGCGAGGGGCGCTGAGACTCCGCCAGAGTTGCCCAAGCCCAAGGAACCGGTGTCTGGCTGCCCCCAACCAGCTAAGGAATCGGAAGAAGACGTGTCCAACTGCTCCCAGGTTGAGTTCTGCGTCAAACTCAGCTCAGCAAGGTCAAGAAAGGTACCCCCACCCACCCTCGCTTCCCGGCTTCCCACCTTTGCCCCCCGCCCGAAAAAAAAAAAAAAATCTTTCTGCTGGCCTTGAGGAATGGGTGCGAGTTCTGGTCTCACGTTTGTTTTGATGGGAATGTGTCTTATAAAGAAAGAAGTTTGCAGGAATAGTCGCAGGCCTGAGTCTGTATTAGAGACAACTCTGCACAAGCCGCTTATACGGCTCAGCAAAGCAGTTTGTCTGGAAACCAGATCAACGCTTAGAAATGCGGGAAAATTGCCCCAAAATAAAACCCTCAGTCAGGCATGGTTCTGATGAAAATCCAGGGGGTCCTAACCTTTTCAAGTATTATTGAGACAGCACTACTGCAAGAGTATGTAATTCACATGAATTTATATAATCCTGGGCATTTTAAATTATATTAATTTCCTAGTCTGTGTAAAACAAGGCGATTTGTAGTTGGTATATTTACCAAATTCTGAAAGAACGCATCGAAGGCCGAAAGTAGAGATGGATGTCAGCAGCTCTTTTCCACTAGAAATCTTTTCTATTATTACATTGGTAACATTTCTACCTGGGATAGTCACTCTCATCTTTTGAGTGTAGGATCCTGGCTTTATTGATCAAGTTCTCCAGTTTGGGTTAGGGAATAAGCAGATCAGTAAGGTTATCGAATTTTGCTGTGTAGAGGCTGCAAGTTTGGTCATTATCAACACAGAATGCACACTAAAATTTAAACTCAAGTGGATTTCTTAGGGAACATTCTAGCGTTAGCCATCAAGGAAGGAGCATCAAGATCTATAAAGGACCAAATAGATTCAAAGCAATAGCCATTTGAGTATTATAAAGTGAGGGGTAAAAGCTGATGTCAGAAAGCACTTTGGGTTTGTAATGAGTGTGTCTCTTGTCCTGACCTTGTTTCTCTTCTTTTCTGAGAGTTTGCAGTCCGACTCAGAAGGACTTTTCCTGCCTTTCCATCTGTTTTGCAACATGACAGAGGGATTAGTTTGTGTAGGCTCAGATCCTTTGAGAGGCATGGAGGGGGTCCCCACAGTCTAGGTGTCACTGATATCTCCTGGTTGGCAACAGCAGCCCCAGAGTGTAATGAAAAAAATGACCCTCTAGTTGGAATTTTCCTGTAGATTGCTGGTGGGTTTAAGAAAAAAATACTATGATGCTTTTTTGTTTAAATCCCTTCAGTTGTAGGAAGTATCAATAGCTACATTGCAAGACATAATTTTTGGCAATAAAATAAATACTTATAAAGTAATTGGATATAGAAAACAAAAAAGCAAATGGCTTGAAGGTTACTGAAACAGAAGTTGGAAATCGAGATTTTAACTTTAGAAGTCTGCTTATCTGACATTTACTGCCCCTCTTCAAATTCAATAAAGCCGGAAAAGAAGTCTCAAAATGCTGGGAATTTGTAGATTTTTCTTGAGGAAAATATTTACAACTTTTTCAGTTTTATAAGTGGGTCTTTGACCCAATAGTTTTGAAACATTTTAGAATTTAAAAGTTTATCCCACTTCCTTTACAATTTTCTGTTTTGGGTTACTTATAACCATTCTTCTGAATGCAGGTTAGCCTTCAGATCTATAACCTGAATTTGGGGCAGTAATTTGAGTAATAGCAACTTAAATTCTGATGTACCAGCTATTGTTCTAAATTCATGCATTTTTAAAATCTTCATAATGGGCTTATGTGGCACAAAGTACATTGAAGGGCATTGAAGTGTAGAGTTTAAATAACTTTTGGGAGGTAACAAGGCTAGAGAGGATTGATTTGGATTCAAAACCAGACAGACCTACAATTGTCTGTATTTATGAAGGATAAATTTATTCCTAGTAAAATATTCTCTACAGTTTGACAGTGACAATCACTATTTCATTCTGAGGCAGTGTTATGATGATAGAGTTGATATTGTCTTAACTTGTATAACTGACATTATTAGCTATATCTTTAAATATAATTACATAATATTCATGTGCATGTGTTTGACTCCTTAGAGAAATTTCTTTTATGATTCCTAAAAGAACTTACATCAGTTTCTGTTGAGAGCGACTGATTAACAATGGACAAATCTGGATTTATTTTTCCATCTGAATCTATGTACCTGCCATTCCATCTATGGAAGCAGAAAGCTAAGATTGATGGAGAGTCGAGAGCAGCAGACTGTGCTCTCCCATGCTGACTGGAACAGGGCAGTTGCTCTTTGAGATGACTCCTTCAGAAGGCTTCACATAGAGACTTGACAGGAAGCCAGGTTCTTTCTTTAGCTCAACATTAGCTCTTACATTTACTTAGTCATTAAGGTAACTACAGGAGACTATTGAGACTGAACATTGCTTAAAAGCTTACTGCTTACTCTTTTGCATTGGTCGGTGGAAAATTCCATAAGGGCTTTGAGAGAGAATGAGTGGTTTTACTGAGAATTGGAATGTAACTAACAATGATTTTATGTTGTTTCAATAATTTACTAATATTAACATTATGTATGTATATATGCATATGCCTATATATCTAATATGTTTGTGTATATGCATTTATGTGTGTGTCACCTGCTAGCAGCCATGTGCAGATAAAGGCTTATGTTAAATTGTCTCCAGATTGTACTGAATGTGAAAAGAGGGTTAGTCTAGAAATCCCAACTGAACTACTGAAGTGCAAATTACAGTTATTAATGATACCTACCATTCAGAAGGAACCTAATGTGAATCTGAAAGTTGCAGAAAGGCAGCCTCTGTTGTTTTGGGCACCATGCTGGCATTTCCTAGGCATACACTCATTGAATTCTAATAACCATGTCATATTTGTTTCCACTGAACAAAAAAACGTAAAAAGCAAACACAAAAAGTGTCCCTGTCTTGCAATTTCATGCAGTTTAGTATCTAACTAGCGAAGCAGTGCTAAGATCTATTCAGTCTTTTCAGATTCCATCTTTTGTGGATGAAATGTTCATATTTTTCCTTAGAGAAACCATGAGGTTCAGTATAACAAGAAATAAAATGCCCATATCTGTGCCAGGAAACAGTTACATTTTCATCCTTTGAGGTGATCTAACGCTACTTATTATTTTTCTTTACATTAAACAATATTATCCCTTCTTTATAAAGTTACTTGGGCCAGTGAGTTGGCAAAGGACTTGCCAAATGCGCCTGGCAATCTGATTCCAATCCCCAGAATCACATAAATATGGACCCACTCCACAAAGTTGTCCTCTGACCTCTGCACATGTGCCAAGGTTCTCATGCATACACACAATAATAATAAAAATAAAATAAAATAAACATATTCTGTGCTGGAATAAGGACTAGGAAGTGAGGGTCTTTGAGCTCATTTCAATTCAACCATAGTTGTATACATTCTCTGTCTGGAGATAGTGTATTTGCGTGCATGTATTTCTCAGTGTTTTGTCACACTGCAATGGTAGAAGACTTTGTAGAGACCATGTGAAAACTGACCTAAATGACTAGGTGTAACTACTTGTTTCTTCTCTAAATATTTGGTTTTTCTTTGTCCTGAGAGGCTACAGATCACATTAGTAGGATGATAGAAATCATCTTTTCCAAATGAAGAAATAGAAACTGAAAACAATAAAGAATAGTGCTAGCAGAAGAACGGGTCACGGGGTTGATGAAGGAGCTGTACTTTACTATTGTGACACACACACACACACAAAGACAGAGAAAGTCCCTGGTCCCTGGTAACAATGACTCATACTTCTTTACTTTTTTGAGATATACTTTTATTTTTAATTAGGTGTATGTGTGTATCTGTCTGCCTGTGCACTTGAGTTTGGATGCCCATGAAGGCCAGAAGTATCAAATCTCGTGGAGAGGGAGTCATAGTAGTTGTGAGCCAACTCACGTAAGAGCAGTAAGCACTCTTAATGATGCAACCATCTCTGTAGCCCTGACTCATATTTCTTGATATTTTATTTGAGCACCGTCTAACTGGAATTAGCAAAATAAAATACCTTTTACACAATTAAGATCAACCTCAAAAATCTTCAAATAATCTTTCCTTCACTGAAAATTTTTATAGTTAAAATTTTTATTTTTTTCCATTTTTGTACATTTATGTGTATGTTTGTGTGTGTCCATGTAGGGGAATGTATGTGATGCACCTGCATATGCAGAGGTGGAGGCCAGAGGACAGCCTTTGGTGTCATTCTTCAGGCATCCATCTTTTTTTTTTTTTTTCCTAGATGGTCCCTTTTAAAATTCTGGAATTCACCCTTAGGCTGGAATGACTGTTCAGTAAATCCTAGAGATTTCTGTTTCTGTCACCTTGGAGCTGGATTATAAACTCAGGCCACCATGCCTGACTTTTTTGTACTTGAGTTCTGAGGATCAAATTCAGGTTCTTGGGTTTGGAAAACAAGCACTTATCAACTGAAGTAGCATCTCTCCGGTCCCTATTTTTTCCAATTTTTTTCTTCTCCTTACCTCTTTATAACAAAAATAATCATATCAATTTGAAATTTATTTTTATCATTAATATATCATATTGATCAAAATTATCCTTTTACAATTTTTATTTGTTTATTTTATGAGTATCTGTGTTTTCCTGAATAAGTTTATGTGCAGGAGTCTTCAGAGGCCAGAAGAGGGTGTCAGGTCCCTTAGAACTCAGAGAGGTGGTTGGTGAGTAGACATATGGGTCCTGGGAACTGAATCTAGGTCTTCTGCAAGAGCAGAAAGTGCTCTTCACCACTGAGCCAGCTCTCAAGCCTCTGAAAATTATTATTTTCCACGCTATTATAAAAAATATATATTCGGTACATAATAAAAATAACCCTTTACCTTTTAGTCAGAAGCATGAAATTAAAACACAGAGGGACTGTGTACTCTAGAAATAGCCATGCTTAATGAGAATGCTTTCATTAAAGGTATCCTTCCTATGAGCTTTTCAAATCACATGGATGGGACAGGGATGTGTCTTTGTAAAAACTAGATGAGGGGTAATTGTGAAAAAGGAAGTGAGAAAGGAGAACTTGCCAGAAA